TCCAGATATATTCACAAAACATCTCTTTTCTAAATGAATGTGAGTTGATATAAATGATAGTTTGGCATGATAACTTTGGATATTTAGATATCAGTGTCGTTGTTTGATGGTTCATGTAAAGAGAATGGGGAGTTAGTGCTCCGAACGAGAAAAGACTTGTTTGTCTCGCAGATTGTGATGTCACCAACGAGATTGTGATGTCACCAACGAGATTGTGATGTCACCAACGAGAGTGTGATGTCAACGGTTGACCACGTGAGATATCACGTGATTACGGCACAGTCTATCGTCGTCCCACCTACATGAGTGAAACGGATTTCAAAAACGAATCAGTGAGAAGGTATTGTTGAATAGGTTGCCCAGCACGCGCGCAAATATAGCGCTCGAGTAATAGACAAAAACTCGTTTGTGGGACAACTGCACCACTCTTCGTGCCGTTTACGAATCACGGGAGGGGCCTGCGCATGTATATGCAAACGGAAGATGTCATTGTTGGCCATGCATAAAAAAAAAGGGGGGGGAGGGAGTGGTCGAATCAAGAATTGGCTCCTTCATCTGAAACTCCCTGACTGAGCTCTTTTTCATATGCATATTTACACTGCGCTACGGTAACAAAAATGCGGGCGAAAAAAAATATATTACAAAACCTGCTCCCAAAAGTCTGACGGTGGCAACGGATTCTCTAATCACAATTTTTCCCGCTAAGTAAGCTCCTTAACTTCCCACCCTTTCATTTCGATAACCACAAATTCTATCCGTAATCCAACACACGCATGCACCCACCACATTCTCATTATTTCACCACTCGGTACCTGGTCCCCCCATCCCTCTTAAGATTATTCACAATGAACATGCGGGTGCAGACCATGCTGCGAAAGTCAATTGTTTTATTTTGTATCGGACTCGAACATGGAGAAAGTCATGCGATAGTATGTGAATAAACAATAGCGTGTGGGTATTGCCTATTCGCGAACGGTGGAATCGAACCACCTTCCAAGAATCACACGGTCGGTGAATCTCGTGTGCAATCTCTACACTAGTTCGCGGAAACGAGGCGGGGGAGTTTAGTGGGGAAGTAAAAGAAAGGACAGGGGGCGGGAACCGCTTGGGACACCTTCCTCAGGCACGAACGGCTGGCCTGAGAAGGTAAACGTGCGCGAGCGGAGGAGTGCGATTAGAGGCACCGGATTACAGACACCTGTTCCGGGGTTTGAAGCAAAGCAGGAACTAGTTCCAATGCATTGCACCTCGTCGGGGGTGGTGTGACAAGGGGAAGAAGATAAGGCTTGAGAGGTATATACGTAAAATGGGAGTGTTCGCGTCTGGGCGGCGGAGACATTTAAAAATTTCTAAATCTATTCACCAACCATGTATAGGTAAGAGGCGAGGGTAGTAAAAAGGGGACGGAGGGCTGAAAAAGAGTATAACAATAAAAGGGGGAAAGAAACAGCGATCTTATGTGCAAAAGTTGTCGTGCGAAGGAGTGGGTGAAGAAGTTAGGTGGTACGCGTACGCGTCACGGTCCGAAGAAGCCGCCGAGAGTCCGCTCTTCTTACGGGGCCCGCCGGTAACAGAGAAAAGTGAAAGGTAGAGGGTTGCGAGCGAATAGGGTTTGTGGAAGGAAGTAGGTAGGATTTCGTGTCATGTGCAAAAGGGTTTGGCTGAGGCTGCTGCTAAGAGTCGAAAACTCTACAGGGCTCTTTTCAGCACGCACCGGGGTCCAGCGCGACGCATGCATGCAAGCAATGGGCCACGGGGTCACCACCGACACGTACTGCTCCTCATGGACCAAGAGCCCTGGGGATACCGGAGACGTAGCATGCCGCCTGACGGAGCGAATGCCGTAGGAATATTTGGTGATGAAGAGAGAAGTAAGAAATGAGTAAGTAAGGAAGGAGGCACACTGTGTATCGCTTGCCCGTGGGAATGGGCGGTTCGAGAGAAGGGTAGGGTTTGTTTACATGTGATCAACCAGCAGCTTCTGTAAAATATTTTTTACGACCCGGAGACATAATGACGGCGTCCAACACGCATGCCAATTCATTATTACACTAATATCATGATACAGCTTGAGTCTAGTCAATCCGTTTTGTATGGTATTCCAGAAAATCGTATACGTCACTGGATTTCATTTAACTGGCTTACTCATTCGTTTTGTCGTATTAAAGAGCCTAGTCACTTTATAGTCCGATCGTCGATCCTAACCCACCCTCCCCTCCCCCACCCGTATACTGTTTAAATACTAGTTCGAGGCCGGATCGCTATTGCTCTCCTGCGCCGACGGGGGCAAACAAAAGCATCACTTTGACCATGGCTGTCCGGATGGTCCAATCCATCTTAGACACGATGAGGTGAATTATCCCGGGGGAAACCCTAGCGCCGTACGGTTATAGCATAGAAACGAGCTCTGTCCCCGTTATACGAAATCTAGAGTGGATTTAAAATCATGAAAGAGATGCAGAGAAGATGCTTGGCATCGTCGGTGGTAGGTAGACAGACCAGGGATCGGTCAAGCGAGGTCCATCGGATTCGGCGTAAAAGGAGTCGAGGTTGGGGATAATTAATGCGTTATTCGAAATCGAAGAACACCTTTACATCATGCTTAATACATCTACGACACATCCAGTCTCTATAATTTTTTTTTACGATTCCATTTGCCATGATTAGTCATCATCGCCAATAATTAGTGCGCATGGCGTGGTGAACGAAGCAATTGTACTGTGATTCATAGAGGCAAGAGCGTAATTCTATTTCCTTAAATTAGCGGCAAAGGAGTTTAGACACCGTAGGTGACGGAGAAATGGTAACTTGATTACAATATTCACAATGAACTGAACCCACAAGTAGTAGAGGAGATACGACGACATTTTCTTCGTAATTTACATGACAATGAGAAAAACGAAAACCATCCCCACAAAATTTTAAGACGGAATTTCAGTATACTGACAGATTCCAAGCTTGAAATTCGGCAGTAACTACTCCGAATATTGTAAATATTCTTACCCCTTTGGATCTATATCTCGCCCTTAACCCTTGGAGACCTGTGGAGAGGGCACCTGGGAGTTGACGAGCTGTGGATGATTTGACAGATTCAATCGTGCGGGACAGATGGTGTTATCCCCCATCGGCAAACATTTCCATTGCTACTCGTCAAAACTCAGCGACGGGAATAATAATAAAAAGCATTGACAAACATTCGATAAAGCCACGACCGAGCCCACCAAAGAACCAATCGAATAGGTCGGATGGAAACCAGCCAAAATGTCGACCATCATGTTCAAATAGTGACAATACTCTCGATCACATAAATGATAACGCATGATTTTGGTTATGGGTGCAAAAGTGACGGATGGTAAGGCGGCACGTATCATGCAAGTAGATTCGTCACAGTGAAAGGTATGGTTTTGATTTTGCTCATCTAATGAGCCTCTCTCAACCTCCAATTTCACGCCCCCTTCCGGCCTTCTATCTCGGTCATGGACATTCAACCTCCCGAATCCAGTAAGACCGCGGCCTGTTCGCTGCTGTATCAAACGGCTAGTTGCAGTCACTCTCATAAACGTTACCACTCCAAGGAGGGGACAAAATGTAATCTTGTGATGCAGAAGCTACGTCACTCACATTTTGACAGCAACCCGCGACTGTTATTGGTGGAGCGTGCTGCTGGCGATAGGGAAGAACAATTTTTACATCCTCCCAAGTGCCCCGAACGACGACGAATACAAGAAGCTCGTCGGCGAGAAGGACCTTCATTACACTCCAGGGTCGCGACGACACCGTTCAGATAAGCACCCGGGCGACAGGGCAACGCTCCCTTTCATTTTTATGTCATACCTTGTTCGGATTAACTAATCTCATTAGCTGCGTCTACCAAGGAGCCACCGCAAGAAAACGAACCAATTTGAACACTCTTGTTAGTATGTATGTATTGATCGCTCTCTTTCACAGGCCATCAACAAGACCGTTCGGCAACGCGTCGTCCTGCTATGATGTACATCTACAAATTTAACCTATGCTCCATTACGAGACTCAAAGGGATCAACTTTGATGGCGAGACTGGATTACAGGAGATTGCTATGTGGTGTCTTGTATACACGGAGAGTTCGTATTTTGTTGCCAGAAGCATCGCAAAATGATTAAGTAATAGTAAATGACGTGTTTTAAAACGGGACGCAATATGTTGCAATTGCCGTCTTTTCTTTTTCTTTTTAGTCCCCCCTTTCCCATTCCAACAACTTGGAACAATGTCAATAAAAAGTATCCAAAATATCACCCGGCGGCGTTTTCGTACAGACAGTCGGCATAACCAGATTGTCTTAAGACTGTCCCGGATATCCGGGAGTAAGATGATCTAAACGAGGGAAAGACATGCACATGACGGTGCTTGTGGTACCAGGTGTCAGAGGATGTTCCGATACATCCCGACTTGCGTGGCTTAGACCTAAGTGTTTGGAGTTGTGTGGATATTGAGAACGGTGAGCTCCTCGCGGAGGTTGTGGATGAATTGATCTACTTCTTGCAACATGAACCACAAAGACCTGCATCCCGGCAACATTCTCTTCTCGCGGTGTCATTCGGTGTGAAAGACGTAGCGAGGCGAGAATATTGCGAAGATACAAGTCTTTGTGGGAAGAGTCGGTACGGTGTTTACCGGACTCTTGGGATTCGACCGAGGACGTGGTACATAGATTTGTTTTTGCGTTCAATTCCGTATTTATCAAGTCTCGGCATTTTGGCTGCGCCCTTCCAAAACACGCAGCTATCTCATCACTTACTCGCGCAAAGAGGGCACAGGTTGCGGAACGGAAGGGGTGTGGATGCAAATGTGACAAATGATGAGTAAAGTGTGGGAGGAAAGAAAGAAGGGGGTATATGGGAGCGAAGACGGGGCTGAGCCGTTTTGTTGATGAATGCAGCCAATCAGGGCCTAGTAAAAAAAAAAGAAAAGTGACGTTTGTGGTTCCAATCCACCCGAAATAGATACGCCACCACCGTCTGTGTAATGTGTATAATGACAGTTTCGGATTCTGCAACAAAGGGCAGCCAATTCGGACTTTAACCTGTTCACTGTTTTATAATAAAAATATGCCCAACAAAGAGATAGCAGCTTATCCTCTCAATGTCTTACCACCAATTCCAATAGATCTGACATCCACTGGATATGAAGTTCGCGACTGTCTCCATCAGTTGACGTTATTTGACCCAACCGTCCAATTTCTCAATACTTTCCCAAATCCCACGCGACCGATGAATCGCTCCAGCTCCCAGGAGTCAGGTACCCAAGGAGACAGCACGTCTAGGACTACTTAATACAAATACATTATTAAATTGAGCAATATTCGACCGATTTTTATTCAATTTGCTAGTTAAGCAGTACAAAAAAAAAAAAATCAAAACAATGAGCGAACGATTTCCAAATGACAAAAAAAAAAAAAAAACAAAACAATGAGCGAACGATTTCCAAATGACTAAAAAAAAAAAAAATCCTATTGACACAAAGCAGTGTCAGCTGTTCATTGTAATAGGGTCTAAGGAGGTGTTATCAGATGGTAGCATTCCCATAAAAGGAAAGCTTGATGGCAGATGAGAACTTGGCAGATGGAAGGCAGAGGGGGGCTAACAGATCTACACTGTTGCTTTCACCTAGTAGATTGTCTGATATTAAAAGACACAAGTGACTTTGTACAAATATTCATTACTACTAGCCCTCTGTGATTGCATTTTTTGAACCGTGCATATCACACTTTAAAATAATCAAATATTCGTATCTCATCCAATTTAAGCAAAAGGTCTGTCATGTTTCGGAACACCGTGTGTTTTTCTCGCCTTCAATAATCCTGACAGGCTTAATGGCAATGCCACGAAAAAAGTGCAGGCAAATAAATACCAGGACCCTAAGCACGATCACCGGAGCTACGGATGGCGTAGTACATCCCGTCAAGGTTCAATTGCAAGATGACCGACCTGCATTAAGCAAGTTATCGGTAAACTGTTCACTACAGAATATCTCCATTCGTGCATCACGATCGATTATTATCGAGATCTT